TTTTTTTGACTTAGAAAAATTTTCAAGTCAAAAAACAAAAAAAAAATTCAAAGTCTTTTTTTGACTTAGAAAAATTTTCAAGTCAAAAAACAAAAAAAAATTCAAAGTCTTTTTTTGACTTAGAAAAATTTTTTATTTTTTTCTCGATAATGGTAAATATGTTAAATCAAATAGATTTTCATTTAATTCAATGCTTTTTTCATTTCAGTTAAAAATGGTATATCAATAAACGATTATCCTTATCCGCTAAACCAAACAAAAGGAAACTGATATAAGAATTTCAATGTGGGATTTGTCGAATAATAATTCCTTTATTTTTTAAAAATAAGGATGTCGAATGTATATTAACTGTCAATTCATGAATGAAAATGATTGAATTTCTTTGATATATCATAATTGTTAATTATCATTATATAATGTATTCAATTATTTATCATTTAATCCAATAATTTTTCTTTTTTTTCTAATTTATTCCACAATTCTCATCTTTTTCAATGTAAAATATCCATTCTGATAAACATTTTCAATATTATTATTATCATTATATTTTAAAATGAAATAAATTAATATTTTCAATTAATAATAATGGTTGAACAAAAAGAGCGAAAAAAGAGCGAGCAAAAAGAGCGAAAAAAAGCCGAAAAAATGAGCCAGAAAAAAGGGCGAGAAAAAGGGGGATAAAAAGGGGGATAAAAAGCCGCCGCGTTTTTGATTTTAAACTGTAGTTCTTTTAATTATCACTAGATGGATATGCAAATAAACAAGCACGAAAACCGTCGTGCAACAGCATCATGCGCAGAAAAATCTGCGCGAAAGCGTGGTCGGATTTTTCTGAGTGTGGAAGAAGAAATAAATTTAAAATATGAAATGAAAAAAAATGAAATGAAAAAAAACAAATTACGAAAACGAATGGAAAAATTAGGAAATCAAAAACAAAAATTAAATAATGAACAAAAAAATTTAGTCGATCAAATAAAATATTTATGCGGATCATCAAATGACAACATATCAGAAACGGATAAAATGAAACTTGAATCACAATTGAAAATAGAATATCAAAAGAGAATGAAAAAATTAAAATCATTTAATCAATACGAAGATTTATATCGAAAACAATTGTCTGGCTATATACAANACGTTTTGTAAAAAAAGTTATAATCCAAACAAACCGGATGAAATGAAAAAAATGGAAGAAACGAAAAAAGATATTCAAGAAAAAAGACAATATATACAACAACAAATAGATAAAACGAATCAAATGAAAGAATCTATACCAAACGAAAAAAATTATCTTGATAAAGTAATTGAAGAAAGGAAAAAAATTTTTGATTTTCATAACTGGTGGTTAAACAAAGAACAAAAAGTTGATAAAAAAATCGAATTCAATGCTTCAGTTGCGAAAAAAGAAATTGAAACAAATGTATTAAATTTTATAAAGGAAAAATTAAAAAAAAATATAGTACCATTTCATGTAAAAGAATTAAGTTTTCGTAATGATGATCCATCAACCAATACGAATTCGTTAGTAATTCTAAACGGAAAAGACATTAATGAAAGTAATTTACAATCGACATCGGAACAAATGATTCTAAGTCCGAATGAAAAAAATAATATGATACAAATATTAGAAAAAAAATATATACAATTAAACGAAAAACTACAAAAAATTCAAGAAAAAGAAACAAAATTTACGATAAAAGAAGCAAAATTATCTACATTACAAGCGAATTTATGTGTAAAACAAGTGTATAATGATGAAGAAAAACGAAAATTCAATGCAAAAAAACGACAAAATATAAATGTTTCACAAAAACAACAAAAACGATTAAACAAACAAAAACAATTATTAATGGAAGAAGAAATAAATTTAAAATATGAAATGAAAAAATATGAATTACAAAAAAACAAATTACGAAAACGAATGGAAAAATTGGAAAATCAAAAACAAAAATTAAATAATGAACAAAAAAACTTAGTGGATCAAATAAAATATTTATGCGGATCATCAAATGACAACATATCAGAAACGGATAAAATGAAACTTGAATCACAATTGAAAATAGAATATCAAAAGAGAATGAAAAAATTAAAATCATTTAATCAATACGAAGATTTATATCGAAAACAATTGTCTGGCTATATACAAGAATCAAAAATGCCAATACTAAGTGATGAACAAAAAAAACAATACTGTCAATATGATGAAAATGAAGATTATTATAATAAATTTTTATCTCCATTTTCAAGAAATTCAAGAATACCAAAGATAAATACAGAATATTTAACTTATTTTAATAAATTTTTGTCACCATTTCCAGTAGAAAGATCAAAAAGAGAAGCTAATAATGAAATTAAATCAAAACATAGTGGTCAATCAAAATTATTATCATCATCATCATCATTATCTACAACAAAACAACAACAACACCGGCAATCATCCAATTTTATATATTCATTAGCAAAACGTATACAAAAATTAATGAATCAAACAATTTTTTCAACAATAACACCTGAATTGCCTGAATGTTAGAAAGAAAAAAAATAATAATCAAATAATAATAATAAACAAAAATAAAATTCATAATTAATAACAAAAACTTTCATTTCATCGTTTTTTTTGTTTCATCAAATTGTTCAATATTAATAGAAAGAAAAACAAATGTTCGAATTCAATTCATTGGTAAAAATTGTTCGTTAGTCCATAAGGCTGAAATGTAGTGAAATATTGCATTTGAAATATTTCATTCACATTGCTGCTAGTGTGAAACCCCTATCACGAAAATTCGTTTAAAAACAACAAACTTGTAATTTTCGTCGATACAAATTAAATCGTAATCGTTCTTAATTAAATCCGATAACAATAGTGAAAATATAACATATAAAAATCCAGAATCAGAAAATAATGTTTTGTGTGTCGAAATTTTGGATAATGAAACAAACTATTTTACATTTCCAAATCGACATTTGTTTGTTTTATTTTATTCGAATGATTGTTGTTAAGGATGATGTTCAAGATGAAAAGTCACATGATAGAAATATGATACCATATAAAACAGTATATGGTATATCCGGTAAATGTACAGGAACATCCGATCATAAAACGACCGAAGAAAAATATCGAACCTGTCAAATAAATGCGATTAAGAAAAAAATGGCAAATAGAGAGAGATACAACATTATGTAAGTATACACTGATTCAATGATTATTCCACAAGTCAAATCATAATTTGTTATTTTTTTCACTTTCAAATACAGTACACCGACAATTGGAATTTTTGCTGTTTTGTTTCATCATCACATCTATACAACAACAAAAATCATCCAATAATCATGGATTGGTTGGCCAATACACGAATATAAACAAATGAATCAAACAATTTTTTCAACATTAACACAAATGTCTGAACAACAATACAAAAAACTAATTAAAATAACTAACAAATAACTAACAAATAACTAACAAATAACTAATAAAACAAACAAATAAAATTCATATTATTAAACTTTCATTTCATCGGTTTTTCTTTTTTTTTCATCAAATTATTGTTCAAAATTGAACGCGGGAAAAAAAGCAAAGATTTTTTTTCAAAGCAATACTTGTTGCTGAACAGTTAGAAAATGCTAATTAATTAATTAATTCGAAAAAAAAGAACTGTTCGAATTGATTTGAAACAATATGATTGATTTTCGAATGTTCGAAAATCAATAGTGAAAAGTTCGTAATTGAAATCCAATAACAATAGTGAAACATGAAACATAAAAATCCAAAACAAAAAATTATTTATTGTTATTTGGAAATTTTAGTGTTGTTTGAAAAATGAAAAATATTATGCATTTGAAAATTGGTTTTATGTTTTTTCATTTTATTTCAATGATTGTTAGTGATGAAATTCAAACTCAAAAAAATGAAAAATTAATGATACCATATAAACCATTATATGGTTTACCAAGTAAATGTAAAGGACAATCGGATTATCAAACGATTGCCGAAAATTATCAAACATGTCAAATGAATGCTATTAATAAATGGAAAATAGAGATACAACATTATGTAAGTTTTGATTAGTTTTCATTGTAAGTCAAAATAATCATACAATATGTTTTTTGTTTTTTTTTGTTTCAAACACACACACAACCAGTACACTGAAAGTTTAAAATTTTGTTGTTTCGTATATGGTGTTTTGGAATGTGAAACAAAAGTATTGTCTGAATGTGATCAAGATTATTCTGATCGTAATGATAAAGAAACAAGACGATTGTTTGATAAATCATGTCAACCAATCATAGCAAACAATTCATGTGGTTATGAAGCTAAAATCGATAGTGAAAATAAAGATCTTACATGGTTATGGATAGTATTAGGAATCGGAAGTTTAATATCAGCTATAGCTGCAGGTGTAGGATGTTATTTTTATAATAATAATAAAAAGAAAAATAATTTAGCAATTATACCAAAAAATGAAACAAAAAAATTACAAAAAATCCATAGAAAAGATTCGGTTTCGGAAAAAGGATTGGATATTTTGGATAAAAAATCTACTACCGATAGCGTATCTACGATTAGTAGTAAAAGTAGCGGATCACGATCATCTGGTGTGAAAACAAAAAAGAAAAATATTTTTGGACAAAAATTTGGAAAAAATAAAGGTGAAAAAGAGAAAAAACTTGATAGAAAAAAAACAATTGCTCGTGGACAATATGAAAATATTCAAAACGATGAATTACAATCAGATCAAATATCAACAGTGCAAGGAAAGTATAGAAAATTATCTGAAGATGATCAAATTGTTGATGGATTGTTGTTGGACGATGAAAAGAATAAACAAACGAAATTGTTACAAGATATAGTCGAAACAAAACCGATAACAGATACTACAACTAGTATTGATGATCAAAAGAATAGAAAACTTTCGACAAGAAAATCGTTCAAAGATAAAAAACCAGAAAATTTATTAAGCTTAGTAGATGATAAGAAATCTGGAACGAAAACAGTAGAAGATCGAATGTCTGAAATTTCAACAAATGTTTCGATCAAAGATGAAAAGATAGAAACACCTACAGCCAGCAACGTGGTTGATGGCGAACAACAATTTATATCGAAACCAGTTGAAGATCAAACGACCACCGGAATTTTGAAAAGAATTTCATCCGATAAAAAAACGGAAAAAACATCAGTTAAAGATGGAATGTCCGAAATTCAAACAAATGTTTCGATCAAAGATGAAAAGATAGAAACACCACCAGCCAGCAACGTAGTAGGTGGCGAACAACAATTTGAATCGAAACCAGTAGAAGATCAAACGACCACCGGAATTTTGAAAAGAATATCATCCGATAAAAAAACGGAAAAAACATCGGTAAAAGATCAAATTTCAGAAATTCCAACAGATGATTCGGTTAGTAAAGAAAAGCCATTAAATCAAATTGAAATCATCGAAGATGAACAAAAAATTGAATTGAAACAAGAAAAGAAAACTGATGGAATTTTGAAAAAAATTTCATCCGATGATAAAATACAGCAAACAACAACAACAACAACAACAACCAACATTGAAGACAAACAACATGTTGAATCGAAACCACCACCATCACCAGAAGAAGAAGAACAAGCAATTTTAGCAAAACAATTAAGAAGAGAAAAAAAAAGAAAAGAAATCGAAGAAATGTTTTTAAAACGAAAAGTCAATATAGATGGTGGAGGAGTTGAAAATGAAGGATTTACACCAATACATTTAACCGATTCAGATATGGAAACATTACTTGAATCGGATTCAGATGATGAAAAAGTACCGGTTTTTATTTCCGATGATGATAAAGATAAAAAACCATTACAAAGTATATTGAAAAATGCAAAATCCGAACAACAACAAGATCAAATACAAACAGAAAGTTTACAATCAAAAGCAACAAAACAAGTTACGTTTGATCCAGAATTGGAAGAAAAAGCACTTGAAGATTTGAAAACATATATTGAAGAATTGAGTGAATATGTTCATGAGAAAAAATATGAAAATGCTAAAAAAGCAGTTGAATTAAAAAAAAAATATAATGATATAAAACGAATTGAAAACGAATTGGATGTTAATGATTTGGATGATGAAACAAAAAAACAAATAAAAAATATAAAATTAGAAATACAAGAACAATTAGATACATTAGAATATCGTAAACATGAAGTCAACAGAATAGGTGAATCAATAAAAAGAAAAAAACAATCATTTAAACTAATGGCAGAAGAAAAAGAAGAATATTTTTCATCATTGAAACAAAATGATGACCAAACATCTCCGCCACCACCGCCACCACCACCACCACCGCAGCCAAAATCAACAACAAAAACAACAACAACAAAACAAAAAGATGAACAAAATATATCTAGCGATCAAAAAAGATCAAAAAGAGAAATTAGTAATGATGATAAAATTGAACAGAATGAAAAATTGAGTAAAAGTAAATTGAAATTTATTAAGAAAAAAACACCATTCAACAAAGATATAACTAATGAACAACAACAACAACAACAATCCGAACAAATTATTCAACCAAAATTATCATCAACAACACAGCAACAACAACAACAACAATCATCATCCAATATTACTGATTCATTAACAAAACGTATACAAAAAGCAATGAAACAAACAATTTTATCAGCAGCAACACAATTACCTGAACAACAATTTCCCGATTTTACTAAACATTTTTAAATATTTTTTTTACAAGCTAGAACAAAAAAAAATTATAAAATTTTTTTTTTTATTTTTAAAAAAATTTATTGAATAAAATTTAAATTTTTACATTTTTATTTGTTGATTTTTTGTAAATTATGAAAATTATGGTGGTTGTGTTACATTTTACAAAAAAAAAATTGTTCGTAATTGAATTCAATTAACAAATAGTGAAAATAATATATAAAAATCCAGAATCAGAAAAAATTTAAATTTGTAATTTTTTGTGTTTTTTTTAAATGAAAAATATTATGTGTTTGAAAATTAGTATTTTATTTTTCTATTTTATTCGAAGGATTGTTGGTATGAATGTTCAACATGAAAAGTCTAATGATCAAATTATGATACCATATAAATCAGTATATGGTGTACCAAGTAAATGTACGGGAACAT